TCTAAAGAAGGTATTTGAAATGAACAAATCATTGATTTTGCAGAATTCTCTTATGCAACACTTCCATATCTAGACTGAATTTCAGATGGTGTTGCCACATATGTCAATCTCTGGTTGTTATCTGCTCTTGTTTGTTCTCATTCCAAAGAATTCCCTTTAGTATGTTTTGAAGTGTTGCCTTGGCTTTTATAAAATGCTTTGATAACAATTTATCCTGAAATTTTATAATTTCACCATCATATTTAATGGATAGCTTTGCTGGATATATGATTCTTAGTTGACAGTTTTCTCTTTCAGATTTTTGTGTATGTATCCCCATTGTCTTCTTACCTGCAGGATTTCTACTGAAAGATCAGAACTTAATCTATTTGGTTTTCTTTTGTAGTTAACATTTCTTTTTTCCCTAGGTGCTTTCAGTATTCTTTCCTTGTCTTTGATTTTTGGAGAGTTTGGGTATGATATATCTTGGTGAGTTTCTTTTGGGGTTTATCCTGCCTGGGATTTATTCAACTTATTGATTATCTTCTAAATTTTCAAGATATAAGGGAAATTTTCTTCCAGCAGCTTTTTGCCTATTCTGTGGTTTTCTTTGTCTTTTCTTGTTCTGGAACTCCAGTCATCATATGTTATTCCTCTTTATGTTGTCCCACATGAATCTTAGGCTTTCTTTAGATTTTTCATTCTTTTTTTACTGTTCTTCTATCTTAGCAGTATTGAGAGATTTATCTTCAAGGTCACTAATTCTGACTTCCATCAACTACCCCTTTGCCCTTTCGATGTGTTGTCCATTGCTGGTATTTTGGTATTGATCATCTGGACCTCCACGTGCAGGTTTTGTATTGTCTCCAAAGCTATATCTCTTTTGTTTGGTTGTTCCTGTAGTGTTTTTCTGACTTCTTCCATATTTTCCTCAAACTTTCTGTGGAACATTTAGATGAACCTTAATATCATTCTCCTGAAATCTTTTTCGGGTAATTGCAGAGCCTCTCCTCCCTTAAAAGCAATTTATAGCTCTTCCTTTTGATTGTTTGTTTGAGCTGCTTTGATTTGTTCTGCATGTGAGCAGAAATTTTCTGTTGATTTTTAGGTATTGTGCTGTTGTATTTGAATTAATTTGATGAATATTTGTTGGTGTGTTCTTAATCACTCTCTAGTTACCTCCTGACAGGTGTGATCAGGAGGTGGGCTTCTCTGTTCACTTTTCATATAGTTCAATTCAGAACGTTTTTAGAAGGTGTTGATTGCAGACACTTCTCTGGTGTATAGAAGCTGGTATTGGTTCTTGTCCAATTGGTTTTAGAGGATACAACTGTGGCTTGGCTGTATGACTGTAGTTGCTGTCTTCTGTCAAGTGAGGCAAGAAGGGAAAACACTCCCATAAGATATCAAGAGGACCAAAAATACAAAACTAAAAATGAGAATCATATAAGCCCAGAAAAGTAATAATAAAAGAGACAATAAAACTGGAAAAAGAAATAATAATAATAATTACAGTGAAATAAAATTATTCAAAAAACAGCCAGGGAGCAACAGCAGGAAAAGAAGAGTAATTCTGTAGCACCACCTGAGAAGTTTCACGATGTTCCCCTGTGCCTCTCAGATCTATCATCAGATTTTTTCTTTATCTTTTTCCTTTTTTTCTTTCCTTCAAGTCCATTCAGTGTTTCTCCTAGTGAGAACCATCCCAGGGTTGGCCAGGCCTAATTTGGAAGAGACTGCTGATACCAGCTCTTTCTGTTGTCTCTTCCCCCTTCAATTAAACACCCAGCTCAGGGAGCTGTGTAGGACCTTCCCGAAGGGTACACATCTTATCTCTGGTCACCAGAGATGAAATAAGTAGAAAGAGAAAAAGAAGTAATAATAATAATTGCACCTTTGTCTCTGTAAGTCACAGGCAGCATTCTGCAACAGGAATGTTCTCTTGTCTTTCAATCCTTTCACTCACATTCAAAATGACTTCCAGTTTCCTTAACTCTTATCTTAATTTCTCCAATTCACCAATACATCCAAGCACTGATTTAGATCCCCTCCCTACTCCATGGTCTGGAAAGTGCCTTAAGGCAGACAACTGAAGCAATCACAGGACTCACCTGGTTTTTGTCCCTTCTTTTAGAGACTACAGTTCCACATTAGATATACAATTTCCAAAATCAGTTGTTTTATTCATTTTTGTACAGCCTTCTAGTTGTTTTTAGCGGGAGGCTAAGTTCAGTCCTGTTTACTCCATCTGGACTAGAAGCAGAAATTGACTTCATTCAATTTTAAGATCAACATTTTACAATAGTCTTTATTTTGGGAATGCAGAGCAAGGAAAGAGATTGACTACCAGGAACTCATGTTTCTTTTAACTGGAGGAGTAAGTCTTAAGAGTGCTGCAAAAAATCCTGATCCATCTTGGCTGCAAGATAAAAGCTGGGAGGAAATTTGTCGTGTAAGCGAATATCCTGCCTTCAAAGGACTCAGGTAATTATTTAAATTTGATGACTAAACATTGAATCATTATAAGTAAGCTTGTAATCCAGAGATTGCTAAATAGCCCTTCTAGTGGGGGGCACTGTAGGATTAGCACTGGAATGTGAAGCACAAGGTCTGCAGTTCAAACCCACCCTTTGCTTCTCGGAAACTCTATACAGGGTCACTATGGGGTGGAACAGACTCAATGGCACTTACCAACATAACTGATAGCTGTCTTTTTTATTTTTTAAATATCCTTGTAAGAAATCCTTTCATTTTTATCTGATGTAAAGAATAATTAATAAGCTTTTTTTTTTTTTTTTTCATTAGGGAGCACTTTAATGAAAATATATTTGAATGGCGGGAAATCTATGACAGTAAAGAGCCACACAATGCTAAATTTCCACAACCAATGGATACAACACTAAATGAACTACAGAAAATAATTATTATTCGGTGCTTAAGACCTGATAAGGTAAAGGACAAATATATTCTATTTGGGATCCAGATAAATTTCCATTTATGAAGTACCAGGTTTGAGATTATTATTATTGTTTTATATATATAAAACTTGTGCAAATTTACCAGAGCAATTCAGTTTTCTATTCAGTAATTCACACACATTTTGTTTCATGTCATTAAATTCAAGTTCTATTTGCTATTTGGTTCTTTAACCTCTGTTTCAAATGTTCAGAGGGATTAGTTATTTTACTTAGGGTTTATTGAACTTCTTGGATATGTGGATTTGTAATTTCCCTCAATTTGGGAAAAAATGTTTACCATAATTTCTTCAAATATTTTTTTTCAGCCTGCTACTTAGGATTTCATGGAACCCTAGTGGCTCTGTAGGATAAGCACTCAACTGCTAACTGCAAGGTCAGCAGTTGAAACCCACCAGCTGCTCCTCAGGAAGATAATGAAGCTTTCTGCTCCTGTAAACATTGACAGCCTCAGAAATTGTATATAGGGTCTCTATGAGTAAAATTGACTCGATGGCAATGGGTACCTAGGACTCCAAGGAGTCCTGATGGCACAGTGATTAACTTTGCAGTTAATCAAAAGGTCATCTTCAGCATTTGTTTCTATAACCAAGGCTATATTTTCCAACTATTGACATCTTCAACCTTTTTCCCATTTATCATGATGTTATATTTTGGTCCAGTTGTGAAGATTTTTGTTTTCTTTATATTGCAGTACAATCCATACTGAAAGTTTTAGACTTTGATCTGTAAGTATTTTGAGTCCTCTTTGGTTCCAGCAGTTGTATCATCTGCATATCACAGGTTGTTGATGAGTCTTCCTCCAGTACTGATGCCACGTTCTTTTTCATATAATCCAGTAATTGGAAAATATGGCCTTGGTAATAGAAACAAAGCTGGTGATCACATGACAGAATTTTACAAACTAATGACTTATTAAAAATAACTTTTATTCAACAACATAAATGGCGACTACACACATGGATCTGATGAGATGGGACAGACAAGAATCAAATTGACAACTTAATGTGGGAAGAGACGATGGAGAAGCTTAATATCATCAGCCAAAACAATGCCAGGGGTCAACTGTGGGACACACTGTCATTGCTCATATTCAAGGTCAAGCAGAAGATCAAGAAAATTGAAACAAATGCAGGAGGGCCAAAATATTACTTAGAGTACATCCCATCCAAACTCAGAGACCATTTCAAGAACAGGTTTGATACATTAGACACTAATAACTGAAGACCAAAGGAGTTGTGGGATGATATCAAGAACATCATATGGGAAGAATGCAAAAAAAAAAAAAAAAAGTCATTAAAAAGACAGGAGAGAAAGAAAACACCAAGATGGATATCAGAAGAGACTCTAAATTTTTCTCTTGAATGTAGAGAAGCGAAAGTGATTGGAAGAAATGATGAAGCCTGAACAGAAAATTTCAAAAGCTTGCTTGAAAAGGCAAAAGTATTATAATGACATGTGCAGAGGCTTGGAGTTAGAAATCCAAAAGGGAAGAACATGTTTATCATGTCTCATGCTAAAAGAACTGAAGAAAAATGCAAACCTCGGATTGTAATTTGTGCCCATTCCAAAAAAAGGTGACTCAGTGGAATGTGGAAATCATCAGACAATATCTCTGATATCCCATGTGAGTAAAGTGTTGCTCAAGGTAATACAGAAATGGCTGTAAGCATGCATTGACAGAAAAATTCCAGAGGTTCAAGCCGGATTCAGAAGAGGATGTGAAGCAAGGGATATCATTGCTGACATCAGATGGATCTTGGCTGAAAGCAGAGAATACCAGAAAGATGTTTCCCTGTGCTTTATTGACTATGCAAAGGCTTTCAGTTGTATGAATCATGACAAGCTATGGACAACATTGTGAAGTATGAGTATTCTGGAACACTTAATTGTGCTCATTAGGAACCTGTACATAGACCAAGAGGCAGTTATTTGAGCAGAACATGGGGACACTGAGTGGTTTAAAATTAGGAAAGGTGTGCAACAGTGTTGTATTCTTTCACTATACTTATTCAACTTGTATGCTGAGCAAATAATCTGAGAAGGTGGGTTATATGAAGATAAATGCGGCATCAGGATTCGAGGAAGATTCATTATCAACCTGTGATATGCAGATGACACAGCCTTACTTGCTGAAAGTGAAGAGGACTTGAAATGCTTACTGATAAATAAAGATCAAAGACGAAAGCCTTCGGTATGGATTGCATAACAATGTAAAGAAAACGAAAATCCTCACCACTGTACCAATAAACAACGTTCTTATCAGTAGAGAAAAGATTGAAGTTGACAAAGACTTCATTTTTCTTGTATCAACCATCAATACTCATGGAAGCAGCAGCCAAGAAATCAAATGACATATTGCATTAGGCAAATCTGCTGCACAAGA